AAATTTTGGGAAAACAACAGACCCTTTTTTCCTACACCGGACCCAAAAAAAAAAAAAAAAAAAAAAAAAAAACGGTTAAAAGAATTATTTCCTGAAACTTTACGCTGATTAAATACAGCTGTAGCTCAGTAAGTTGTCTGCCTGTTCAAGCTATCAACAACTCTATCTCACCAACATTTTTAGTAAAAGTGCTCTCTTCACCCTTTCTAGTGTTAGTAAGTGACTACATTTGATATTCCTGTTAACAAAAACACATTTAACCAAGAAAACAGTCCTCTTGTGCACAAGGCCATCCCAGAGATCCAAATTGTTATGTAAATTAAAACTAATCATCAAAATATAGACACACGTGAAGCTTTTTTGTTGTCAAGTGTTTTTCAGATTGCCATCTGCTTTGAAAAACAATGAAAATGTTGATTATGATATACTTATGTTGCATTTTACACTTTATGACTGTAAACTACATGGTTTATTTTAATCTTCTTTTATCTCATAACAGAAACATAACAGCTTAACTGATTAATAAAAATTGAGCTAAATATGAAGTCACCTTGACAGAATAAAAGCGACCCAGCGGGTCTAATTTAGCCTTTTTATTTTTAGGGACTTTATGTACCTCCAGCTGAAACGGCGAGGCTGATGTCTTCATTGCACATGCAGAACCACTGATTCCAGTTAGACAGAGCGGATACAGGATCACGACCTTGGTTAGGCTTAATGTTGTCAGGGAAACCAACACAGACATGATGCTGTTTATGACTATGAAGACCAATAAACATAGAACCTGTGACTTCACTTCAACTCTTTTGTGCACTACAGCTTAGCGAGTTAGCAAAAAAAACCAAAGACTTTGAAAGATGCGTAGACATTTTCTGTGTAACAACATAGAAAAAATAAAATATATAGCAAAAAAAAAAATAATAATGATAATAATTGAAATGATATAATTGTGAAATGCAGGTGTGGCCAGTATTTCAGAGCCAATATAAAAATACACTTTTCACCAGACTAACATTTCATGCCACTCTTAACGTCTAATTATGTGCTGTATTTTTAGAGTATGCGTATGTACTGTATAAAGATTGGGTTTTATTGTCTGTACAGACTTTTTGTCAGACTAGAAGCCGTTTTTTCACATTAATCTCACGTTAAATGAGCAGGGAGAAGCATAGATCCCAGGGTCAGGATGGCTATTTGGAGGACTCATAATACACATATAAAAGATGCTTACTTTACCGTTACACAACTCTAATTTAAAAAAGCTGTGGCCGTCAGAGCTTTACATTCACTCATGAGCATAAAAGATGATTTACTTTTGAGCTTTTACTGATGATTTGGAAATAAAAACTTCTAGGTCGCAGGGATTATATAACCTTCTCCATTTTTAAAAACAATACTTTTTTTTTAAGTATCCAAACAGGATTAAATAAACTGAGCTCTGAAAGTAAGAACATTTGTGGTTAGTCAATTATTTCTAATGGAAATAAATGATGCTTCTAAAAAGAAGGAGAAAAAAAAAGCTTCTATTCCCTTTTAAATTATTCAAAATCATAATTTTTTTTTGTTAACAATTGCTTTGGCCATGAAGAACTTGCAAGTCTTCACTAATGCCATTAAAGTCAATATGTCCTATTGACTTTAATGTTGTTTACTGGATTATTGGTCTTTGAAGAACCAAGTTATTTTAGCAATTTAACAAGTTGCCTAGAACTCCTTCTTATGCTGGATACCAGGATGGTCCCACACTGCTGTGGGATGGTACCCAATATTTTAAACAACATTGGTGGTGGCTGTGTTGGTCACTCTGACGCAGCCTAGGCTGACCTTAAGTGTTCAACAGGTTTGAAATCAGGGTTGTAGTCTGGCTACTCAGTTTGCTTTGCAGTGTGTCGCATTTCCACAAACTGAGACAGGGCCCAGACATGAGCGCAAGGTGAGTAAAGCATCACAAGTCCAGATGATTAGCTGATCGTGACCCCTTTTAGTTCATTCATAATGACCACCCAGCCTTGGATCGACTCTATTCCCTCCCAAATCTTTCTCGTTATCAAGCTCACAAACGTTGCTGCCCCTGATTCTTTGTTCATCCTCTGCGCTGCCATGTCTCCTCCCTCTGAACACAGATGACAGCACCAAGGCTGCAACTTCACTTCTATTAAAGAGTCCAAGAAAAAGGCGGAGTGGGTGGAAGAGGACAGCAATTTCTGTATATGTGTATTTTTGTATGTGCCCTCAATGAAAAGGTCTGTGTGCTCAGAGATGTTCTTTCCTTCAGTGGAGGATAATAGGATGATGTCAGCAGATTAAGTAACTTCATGGATCTAAACAACAAACTTGACTGATCTTTAAAGCACGAAATGAGCAACAACGCTACAGAAACGGCCCTGGACATTAAATCACAACAACAAATATATTTATTCATTTATTATATTAGAAAAAAAAAATAATTGATGCTAATTAATCTTTTGCCGTCAGTAATGTACACGTAAAATGTTATTGCGTGGAGTACGACTCAGGCAGGTTGGACAGGAAACACAGCCGGATTTATTGGTCGAGTTTGGTGATTTTGAGTCTTTTTGCACACAGGCACGACACAGCAAGTGGCCGCATCCCAGCCGGTAGATCGATGATGATGATGATGATGATGATGATGAGTAAACTGAGACTGAACGGGAACAGTCAGAGCACACCTTCCCATCTGGATAGAAAATACAGGAAAGAGAGAAAAAAGGTTGACTGATGCATAAACAAGTCCTTTAACATTTTAAACCTTAAATTTCTTAAACATTTCAGTCTGTATTCATTATTTTGACCCTTTGTGGATTGGAAAAAAAATCCACAACAACTTCAAACCTCTATACCAGGGGTCCCCAAACTACGGCCCGCGGCCCGCCTCCTCATTTGGTCCGGCCCCCTGAACAATACCAGAGAGCGTTCAGTGATTTTTCTTCAACCACCAGGGGCGCTCTTGAGCAGATACTTAGTTTCCCTCAATGGAATATATACTAGTCAGTACCAGTCACCGTTTCGCTCACGGTTTTTTTCCATTTGCATTCTGGGTAAAGATCTATCTACAAACGCGAATATGTCGTCGGCAGTAATCCAGCCCCCGGCCCCCGACCAGAACAGGGAACAGTCATGTGGCCCTCGCAGGAAAAAGTTTGGGGACCCCTGCTCTATACCATATCTTCGTTAATAAAAATCTTTAAGGTATATTTTGTACAATCTTTCCACTCTGAAAAAAGAATGACTTAGCTGAATTATTATAGTGAGATAAAAAAACAAAACAATTTTAATAATTTCAAACCAGATAATGATTTTGAAGTTTACATTTTTATTTTTTAAGATTTTACAGAAAAAAAAATAACAAAGGTAATAAAAAAGGAGGTTTAATCACACTATGAGTCTAAGCAGCTTCATGACTCTGAAAATGTGCATAAATGTCGCCTAAAGTGCAGGACTTGTCACTGCCTAAACCTGACTAAGCTGGTCAACTGCAGCATTTTTACTAGCACACAGAATTTGACAGATCTCTTTGTGACAAGCACACAGAGAACAAACCTCTGAGCATTTGCGTTTTTAAACTCAACCAAAATTACAGCCACATTTTCCTCATACTTAGTAAGCCTCACGACATTCAGCACACATTCAGCTGCAGACGGTATTTACAGCTGAATGTGGCCGCATCCAAGTCGGTAGGCATTTCTTACAAGTCTGCAAATTAACTTCTCACCATAAAGATTGAAGATCAACAACACCGTTCAGTCCTACGCAGGCAGGCTTTAAGATTCTTGGAAACTACGGGGATGTGGTGCAATACCTGCAGCGAGCCAGAGAAAACAGACTGTACCTGTGGATGAGCTCGCAAAGCCTGAACTTTGGCACAATGTCGACTGGGATGTACTTTCTGCTTGGTGGAGCAAGTTTGAAGTAAAGGAGGGTCGTCCCTGCAGGGCAGAGAGCAGGGCCTCGTCCAGGCTGGCTGAGAGCAGCTGCTCGTGGGAACTGGAGCTAAGCTCTGAAAACGAGCAGAGCGAGAAATAAAAAATACAAATAATGAAACACAAAAACTGCGAAGATTCGTTTGGGAAATCAGTGTTCGTAATTACAAAACCTGGTGAGCACAGAGTGAAAACCACAGTTGTCCATATTTATGACGCATCCATGTACTGATTTATAACTCCAATTAGAAGTGGGATGTAATAAGGCAATTAAGTACAATAAATTATTATTGAAAATTAGAAAATGATACGTAATTTAATGTTACGACCCAATAAAATTACTTAAGGATGTCTGTAATAACAAAACTCATTTAAAGTATGCAGGTCAAACATATAAAAGAACCCCGAGATCCCTGAAGTTTTCCATCCAGGAGCTAAAGAGAAAGCTTGGGATGATATGCTAGTTAGGGAAGCTAAAAACCAGATACTGTTTTGCAGCCTACTAACATAAACCACAGCTACAGGGGAGACCGTGGGAGCAAACATGAGCTGATTTTATGTGACTGGGAGCCTGTGATTGACAGAAACTACCATTGAGTCAAATCTACCAAAACTTGCCGTACTCCAGATAAACCTTAAACACAAAACGTTTGCCTGATGTCAGAAAAACTAGCGATAACGTTGGCAAATGTTGCAACAACATAAATTGCACTAAATAAACAGTTAACAGTGTTAAAGTCGTTCTGCAGGGAACTCACTGAAAACGTACATAAGACGTAGCTTCTTAACGACTTCTCTATCTTGCTTCTACTTCAGCATTACAACATTTTATGCTACATTTAACAAGAGTCGTCAAGACCGTAGCTGTATTAACACTGCATAGAGTGTAGAGCCCCAAAATTCAAAGATAGTTCACACTATTCATTGTGCTGTACACCATACTTTAAAGGAGTTTTTTTTTACAAGTGACATTTAAATATGACAGTAGAGGTGTAACATCGGGACATCCTCTAACAGAAGCTTAAAATGTATGAAAAGTTTGACCATATGAAACTTCAGCCCCAATTTGTTATAGCTGCAATGGCTGTAGGCATTGAAATCTAGTAAGGATGTTACACTGAACACATTCTAGTGGTGAAATGTGCAACACCTGCAACATAAACCGATAAAAGTATTTACTTCTTCTCCCTGTGGATTTAAGCAATAAATGAAAATGTCCACAAATATCCTGAAGATTGCAAGCATGACTGATTAAAGTATAAATACAGTACATAATCAGTGCATATAGATGTAAACAGAGTGTCAGAAGTGTAAGTAACCAAGCTAATTTCTACAGCTATATTAGATATTGAGCGCTACCAAGTCTAACTTACGATTCTCTATGATTTTTTTTCATAAGATGATCTTGGAACGTCAGACGTTTTAAGACAAATCAAGGAGTGTGATGCTGCCTGTATTTAGGAAAAGATGCAGCTTCAAGAAAAGAACCTTTCACAGCCAGTACTCACCTAAACCTGAATTATTTCTTATTTTTTTGCTTTCAGAAGGCAGTTGTTTTCCAGGTGTTGCAGCTTCTACTGAAATCTCACTTGGATCTCGTTTTTTTCTTCTGTTCATCTCTGATTTACTATCTGTAGAGAGTGGCTTGATATTAGATACATCAGTCCTGTTATTTGATGACGGTCCTGATTCATTATCCACTGCCGTGTGAGCAGAGGTTTGGCTTGTATCTGTGTTTTCATCAGTGGAATGGGTAGAGTTACTGTTTATTGAGGTCTTAGTAAAACTTGGAGAAGTCTGAGAACGACCCAGAACCGAGGAGGTTATGAGTCTTGATGCTTGTGGGTTCTGTCCCTGATCTTGTCCTCCCAGGGTCCCGTCCCTCCTCACCATCCCTGTCTGCAACAGGAAGTGGTCAATGCGGCTTTTGAGCTGGGGGTTGGGGAGGGCTTGGCAGGTGGCGGTGAAGGGGACGCCGGTGAAGGGGTCGTTTGGCGGTCGACCCCAAGCGGCTTCCCTCTTCTGGTACTCCTCCAGAGTGGAGGCGTCCACTGACATTCCACTGGGAAGCAGCATAGGGAGCGCCATTACTTCCTGCGTTAGAGGATCCAGGAATTCTTCTGGGATGGAAAACCTGGCCGAGCCAAAAAGAAAGCCACGATAAATCAAACACTGTTTCGTAATCAAATGATTTCGTTCAGACTCTGAGTCAACGTGAAATAAAAATGTTCTTGTAAATTAAAATAAACATTACTCGAAATGTCCTGTACCTCAGGCTGTTCTGGTGGGTGTGTGTCGTTTGGCTGACAGGAGGAGAAAAAAAAACAGGGTGCTCCACCCGCCTTTCATTTGCCTCCTGGATTCTTTGAATCCTCTCCACTTCCTCAGCGGGGCAGCAGCGAGCGGGTTGCCCCCACACAGCCAAGGCCTTCAGCCCCAGAGAAGACGCAGCACCGCCGCATGGTACGGTGACACGAAGCTGCGTCACGGCGCTCAGTGAGTGCAGCCCCCGGCTCCACAGCTTCACCTGCCGACTGCTTGCCGGCGGCGGAGGAGGAGCAGAGAGGAACGGAGCTCGGGGACGAAAGTTTGAATGACTGAATGAAACTTGGGTTTCTTCTGTGAGTTCACAACGAGCGACCTGCTTGAACTCTGATTCAGAGCTCGACTGAGATTGGAAGTCTGTCTGTGGAGGCCCGTCTTGAGCTTCTTCCTCCCACTGTTGGGCCTGAATACTCCACTGATTGCCATTACTCTGCCGAGACCGACTAGAAACAGGATGATGCTTCTGCCTGTTCTTTATGATCTGGTCCTTTGCCTGGTTTTTACTCTGCTCCTGCCGATGAATCTGCCCAGGACTTGACAGGGCACTGGTATCTGAACTTGTGCTGATCTCCAGTCTTTTGCGGGCTTGGCCCCGGTCCATTCCCCAGGGCCACAGCTCCACATCCACCCGGCAGAGCTCCACCGGGAAGCCAAACTTCAATGTCACCTTGAAGGGATAAATGGATAAACAGATTCAGAGATCCGCATTACATCAGCACATAAGTAATAATCAGAAACTGATAGAAAAAAAAATCATTGCAAGTTGTCAAATCTGATAGGAATACATACTTTTAAGTAGAACTGAAACAATTAATTGGATTAATCAAATTAATCTGACTAATCATGACGCGATGTGCATTCCTGCACATGAACAGGCCAGGTGTGAATCCCGGTGACACCAGTGAGTCTATATGGTCACATGACAACAGTAACTCAGTCCCTCAATCTTTTCGCAAAACACAATTTTCAAACAGGATTCAGATAACCGTAGTTACAGTCGTCACTTTAGTTCCGTTTCCTCCCTACTGACCGCCGGAGTCCTGAGGAATCACATACACAAAAGAAGAAAATACAACATAAAGGCATGCCCACCTTACTGAGACAAAGATGAATACTGCAATAGGATCCCTTACAACAGGTGACACATAGCCAGGTTTAGCCTGTAGAGCCCAGCAAAGGTGTTTTTGGATGACCAGGAGGCGGCTGCACGTATAGCCTCGACACTGACCCCATCCATGACACACTACCACAGCTGGTGCCTGTGGGCATCAGGGATCCCCCACATCCCTGATGCTCAACATGTGGAAAGGGACAAACTTTTAAAAACACATTCAGATTTCTCAGGTCTAAAATTGGGCACAGTCCCCATGTTTTTTCTTTTAGAGTAAAAGCCTGCAGGGATCCAGAGGGCACCCTTCAAACTCCTGTTGCAGGGCATCGGCAGCCACGGTAGCACCCTTGGTGTCTATTTCGTGGCTCAAGTGCCTGAGCTTTCACCTGGTCACAAATGACCATCATTCAGACCGGCCCAGGAACAGGCGGGCAGCGGCGGAGCTGTAGCACGTAAACCCGAGACAGCGTTGACACAACCCACACATCAGAGACTTTTATTTTCGGTGCCTAACGTCTGAACTGAACTTGGAAAGAAATCTTTTCAGTTTTCTGCTCCATCTTCTTGGAACCAGTTGCAAAAATACATGAATGCAAAGGAGGTGTTGTCACTAAGTGCTTTAAAGGCTCTTCTTACTGAGGAAGGAATCATCTGTCTGTAAATGTTTTAACTCAGGAATCTTTGAATTAATTTATTTATGACAAAGTTAACCGTTTTCTTTTTTGCTGTTATTGTTCTGTAACCTCTTGACCAGGATTCTCTTTCAAAACGGTTATTTAAGGTCAACGGGATTTTCCTGATGAATTAAAGGTTAAATAAAATAAAAGCACAGAAGGTTTAGAGGCTATACAATGAAACAGAAAATGTTTGAAGTGTTGGATGACTAAATGAAACAAAGGTAAAAAAAAAATAAAAAGTGATTTATCCCACAATAACGCACAATCTTACATGCAAGGGTGGACGTAAGAAGTATTCCAACTTGAAGCCTTGTTTCCGTAGTGAAGGGTCTGCTGACACAATGTTTGTAACATCATAGCCATCTGCACAGAGCTAAAGATATAACATAAAAGATATACACATCAATAAAAGCCTTAAACAGCCTTTCTATGCATCGTTTTGTCTTTACACATGGCAATGGCACCCATGGACAACTGTTTCTGTGACATAAAAAGAGGAGGAGGAGGAGGCAGCAGAAAAAGAGAAATATGTAATTTTCTTCGCAGAATAAAAGGTACATATTATATGTCCTGAGTGCTGAGAAAAGGCAGCCGTGATAGATTACAGAAATGGAATAAAAAGGACAAGGACAGTTGAGATTTATTCTCCCACACACCACATTGTACCCTGCTCTTTAATTTTCACACAGCCTTCCTCCTCATCCCTCCAGAAAAAAACAAAAAACAAAAAAAAAAAACGCTTCTCGTCTGAGTTTCTTCGTGAACTTGAAAGAGTCGGCTATAAAAAAAAAAATCTAGTATCGGTCTCATTTATGAGAGAGCTACAACCGCTGTCGATTCCTGTCACTTCTTTGTAGTAAAATTATTATCAATGTTGCGAAACCAGCTGGCATGTAAGAAAACAGCTTGAGGGTTGTACAGTTGTGTGAATAGGTTTTAAAACATGTCGCACCTTGTTGCAATGAGCCGTTGTTGAAAAGTGTGGCTGACAGAGGTTCACAACCATATTCTGCAACCTGCAAAGACACAAAGTGACTTAAGAGCAAAACAATGCCACGCTTTCTGTCATGCACAGGTAACTTAAGGCCAAGAGAAAGTGATGCACTCAGGAATTCAAAAAGCTCATTTGTGTTTTCAATCTTTTATGCATACGTCCTTTCATAACTTAAAAAATGAACAAGCTTTAAGTCCACTATCTATGTTTCATCACCAAATTAAAAGGCAGTTTTAAGAGAGCAAGACTGCACCAATGATTCAAATACAGCAACAGAAAAGAAAAAAATGTGACTTACTCTCCTGTTTTCACCATAAGGTTTGCAGCTGTAGCAAAGGTTAGTCTTAACGAAACGTTGCAGTCAACATTATTCCATAAGCAAAAAATGCTCAATTTAATACCAACAGAAATTGAACTATCTATGTATCTATGTAATGTGTTAATCAGAAATCAAGGTAAATGATATTTATTCATTTCTCTGGGATGATATTCATTCTCATCATGTGAGAACTCTGTGGCTTTCTGCAGCTTTTAAAAAAAGTTTTTCATAGATAGATATGAACTAAGAGGGATCAAAACAATTCATCTGAGTATAATAGCTTGCCTCTTGTGGTTTAATTGTGGCACTTACTCCTTTAGCTTCCATGACATGACTGTTCAGAAGTTTTCACAAGCTGAAATATTTGTAAAACATCCAATTTCTGGTGCATTTCTTATAACTGCTGACCGAGACTAAGCAGAAACGCATGGGGGAATACAGTTCCTCATTCTTATTTTTACGTTAGTTTACACGCTTTCATTTACATTTAACTTTTTTCTTGTACACCTGAATTTCAACACCGTGTCACACTAAAGGATGTTTTATATTATTTTTAGTGATTACAATAGAAAAATGCTGCAGAAAGTACGACAATGTTCATGAATCATACCGGAGACGGTAAGCAACATGCCACTGAAACATTTCACAGTATCTAATAAGTAAACTAATTCGTTAATATATATCTTTTTGTAACTGTATTTATTTGACATCGATCCATTGCAGTAATACTCCATACAGCAGCTAGCAGCAAACAGATGTATCTGGAAATGCGAATGCTGGAACGGACTGACAATATCAATAACTAAATTAATATGTAGGGAAATAAAAATAGTAAAACCTATTCTGCTTGGTGGCGCGAACACTTGCCTGCTCGGTTCTGTATTATTCCTCCTCAAGACAATTTTGGAAGCAGCTAGTAGCAATCAAATGCTACAAACACAACATCCGGTATGTCTAAGGAAGCCGAGGAGGGTCGCATTTGTGATTTATTTATTTATTTATTATTTATTTTTATTACCGCTGGCTCCTTTTCACTTTTTCTTGGTTGACATCAGTTCTGGATCTTGTTCTTGTTCAAACTCAGTTTCAAAGCCCAATGAAGAAATCGTCTCTGTATAGATTACTGTACATGTCCTTTCAGTTAACGCATATATTTTATGGCTGTTCGTTCTAAAACTGCTATTGTTTTTCAGATAGTAAAAAAAAAACAAAAAAAAAAAAAACAAAAAACTGACCAATAATAAACCAGCCAGTATTTTCTAACACTGACTGATTTGAGGAGAGTCTTTTTACAGTCAGTTTTATTCAGCAAGTTTGTGCAAACAAACAAGGAATTTGACTTGTTTGACCTCGATAAAATTTTTAAAAATATAAATATATGGACAAATATAAGGACAAAATAAAAAGTAATTGTATTTCCTTCTTGTTATGTTTATGTACAGTGATTTTTTCACATAGGCAGACAAGGCTGAATCGGTGTAAATATGCAAAGTATCGACTATGTCGACTGCTAAGTGTTGATCAGGCAGACTGGGGAAGGAAACTATCTTGACGGTTGCTTTTTGCAAATAGCCCTCTGTAGCACGGACCTGAATATAAAAATCTACACAACTAGTGTCCAGGATGTGTGGAGTCTGTGGAGATGAGAGGAGATGCACTCAGTTAAATAACTACTATGGGACTTTATTCTGGTCTTTGTTTGGACCTATGGCGATAATACTGCTCTGTATTTATTTATATCTTCTTTTCCAAGACTGATTTCATAGAGAATTCATTCTGCCATACAAGATAATAAAAACATTTTCAATACTTTTGCCCCCACTGTATGTTATAGCTAAAACTGAATGCCAACTTGGTCCTAAAATAATTGAGATTCAGATGGAAAGCAGAAGTGCTGTTTATTATCTCAGATCATTCAATATATTGTCTTTGATGAGATTAATATCTAAGATACTATGTTGAGGATTTTTCTTCTTACTTCTAATCGGTCACAAGAAATGATTAAGGCTAAAAGACAATCTGGTTTCAAACAAGTCTAAAGTATAAAAGGCACATGTGACTTTTGACAGTAAATGTTGCCCTCCGTCAGGGCCGTGCAGAGACCACTAAAGGGGCAGGTGCTCAAAAAAAAA